CCGGCTAGTACATGGGCAACTAGCTCCATCTGCTGGGTGGTGCCGGCTAGTACATGGGCGACCAGCTCTATCTGCTGGGTCGTGCCGGCTAGTACATGGGCCACCAGCTCCATCTGCTGGGCGGTGCCGGCTAGTACATGGGCAACCAGCTTCATCTGCTGGGTGGTGCCTGCTAGTACATGGGCAACCAACTCTATCTGCTGGACTGTGCCGAATACTGTTGTCGTCACATGGGACTCTACCGCCGCCCTGGCCTCTATAGTGACGGGCATTCTATCAACAGATGCGTTAGAGTTTCTAGGACCAGGCTGCAATGCCTGCAGGTCGGGTCCCTGTTATTATCTAGCCGAATGAAGTATGTGCTAATAAGGCAATGCTCGGTATGCATTTGAGTCACCAGGCTCTGCTGTCGGCGACCCAGCTTCCACCAAAGAGTCTTGTCTTCTGGGAGACGGCATGCTAGGGAATACACCTCTGACTTTCGTGCTGTTTGCCCACTCACTGCCTGTACCATTTTGTTAGAAAATGATCCGCCAACCAGTTTTCAATACCGTAGTTATAGCTGTACTAAATCGTGTTGTTCTCTGAATATTAAAATAACCAAACTTTGCCATTGTTGACATTTAGTAAGTGAAAGTGAAGTGAATGTCTTTCCACCATGATGAATCTCTCATCAGATTTTAATTTCCACCACACAGTACTCTGCTATTTCTGACTGGTCTTTAAAAAAAAAAAATATTTTTAAACTTATCAACTCAAAATGGAGTAAAGTCATTACACTTTGAACATCTGTTTCTTGTACAACAAGATGTGTACATAACCGATGCAGCTAACGTGGTGTAACTACAGAAAGTCTGACTAAGGGTCAGAGTTGGAACCAAACCATTGTCTTCGGGTCCCCCAGTCGAGATATTTCAACGCAATATATCCTTTCGAAATGTCTCTCAGACATCGGAAGTGCCACATATTCTACTACGTTGAGACAGTAGAATTGACGTTGTTCACATTAGCGTTGGGGGCGAAATTGTTCGAACTGGGGTGGGTGCTGAGTCTGAATCTTGCCGCCGAACTGTCTACCGACGTCACCGTGATGGCCGCCGCGTTCTCCTTGTAGATCATAACGGCGTAAAGTTTGGACAGGAAGAGGAAGAACAGCGCCACCGAGTGGTTCAAGAGGAGCGCCAGGGTCAGCAGCAGCGTCTTGAGGTACTGCCTGCTGGACGTGACGAACGTGGGGATGAAGGCCAGCCAGATGACCAGCGTCGTCGTGACGCACATGGAGATGAAGCGGGACTCGTTGAAGTTGTCGGGCACCATCCGGGTCTTGAAGGCGAACACCGAGCAGAGCAGGACGAGCGTCAGGTTGTAGGCCAGGAACGAGCCCAGCCCGGGCAACGTCATGTCGCACGAGAGCTCCACGTAGCGCTCCGACCTCACGGGCTGGGTCAGCCGAGCCGTTGGGTTCTGGAGGCCCGTGACGAACGTGCTTATCACAACCTGTTGAAATGAAGCGATCCGTTATTTTATTTTTTACGGTAGGGCAGCAGTGTTTAAAGTTCTTGTTTGGGTCCGTTTTGGGAACTATTTGTGTGTTGCATGTATACAATATCATAGAGCTTCAGTCGTGCCGGTATTTTGGTAGTACATGCACATTGTACGGTCTGAATTTTAGAAAACAAAAAACGATATGTATCAATTGGCTTAATAAATTCAGATATAATGACAGAGTAACACAGTTTGTAAACCAAGGCAGTAGTGACGGAACTACAACTCCATCTACAACCCTTTCAATGGGTATTGCTATCAATATCGGACATGTGTCGTCAATCTGTGGTAATTTCTGTTGCGGGTATACAGTAGGGACGTCATTTGTGTAGGGTAGGGTGGGGCATTTGCCCCCTCTCTGAATTTCCAGGTTTTATTTAAATTGATATGTAATGTGGCGCTTCCACTTAACAAGCCGACCAAGTTTTGGTTTTGCCCCCCCCCCCCCACCCTGCAAAAAAACGGAAATGACGCTTCTGGTATACAGTTAATTTGGCCGACTACTGACTCCATTAATTACAAATCTAGGACATTTATTTATAAAAGTATGTCATTTTAAACGCTATATGATTTAGACTTCATAAAAAATATATATTTATTTCTAATTCAAAGGACCGGATCTAAGCACAGTCTTAAAATCCCAATGACTACCAACTACACAGACATAATTACATCCAAACTCAGACATGATGACAGCCAACTACACAGACATGATGACAGCCAACTACACAGACATAATTACATCCAAACTCAGATATAATGACTACCAACTACACAGACATGATGACAGCCAACTACACAGACATTATGCCATCCAAACTCAGACATAATGACAGCCAACTACACAGACATAATGCCATCCAAACTCAGACATAATGACAGCCAACTACACAGACATGATGACATCCAAACTCAGACATGATGACATCCAACTACACAGACATAATGACTACAAACTACACAGACATAATGCCATCCAAACTCAGACATGATGACAGCCAACTACACAGACATAAGGGCATCCAAATTCAGACAGGATGACAGCCAAACTCAGACATAATGACAGCCAACTACACAGACATAATGCCATCCAAACTCAGACATGATGACATCCAACTACACAGACATAATGACTACAAACTACACAGACATAATGACATCCAACTACACAGACATGATGACAGCCAACTACACAGACATAAGGGCATCCAAATTCAGACAGGATGACAGCCAAACACACAGACATAATGACTACCAACTACACAGACATAATGACAACCAACTACACAGACATATTTACATCCAAACTCAGACATGATGACTATCCAACTACACAGACATGATGACAGCCAATTACACAGACATGATGACATCCAAACTCAGACATGATGACAGCCAACTTCACAGACATGATGACAGCCAAACTCAGATATAATGACAGCCAACTACACAGACATAATGCCATCCATACTCAGACATAATGACTGCCAACTACACGGACATAATGCCATCCAAACTCAGAGATAATGACAGCCATCTACACAGACATAATGCCATCCAAACTCAGACATGATGACTATCCCACTACACAGACATGATGACAGCCAACTACACAGACATGCGACCCCCAAAAAAGGACGCCATTCAGATTCAATTATTTGGTTAAAACGTACCTGTCCCATGACGATAACACAGGAGATCACCACTTGTGACAAGGGGCTGACCAGTTTGAGACCCCTCGTGCCTTTGGCTGCCGCGTTAAAGATTCGATAGATCCTGATGGCCTTGACCAGGAGCGGCGCGTAGAGCAAGTTGAGGGAGAAGCAGAACAGCCAGTAGGCGATGGAGCACGTCACGTGGGTGGGGGGCGTGACGTACAACATCATGGTGATGTACCCCAGCAAGATGGCGAGGAGCTGAAGGAAGCTGAGCTCCCTGCTGGATGCCCTGATCACGCCGGCCTCCCTGTAGTGGAAGTAGGCCACGATCACGCATAGGGCCGTCACGATGCCCAGGCAACTGGTCGTGATCTCGAACACGACCACGCCTTCCTTGTACACGGGGAATATCGGCTCGATGGCCTTGCACTGCGTGAAGTTGGTCCTAGGGTCCGGCCAGAAGAACATTGGGCATTCCCGGCACGCCGTCCGGTTGTTGATGACGATCTCGTTGTCGCGGCACTGCCTGCAGTCCCAGCAGCACGGCTGGTTCTTGGGTATGACGTACTCGCCCACGACACACTCGCGGCTGCACACCGACACGGGCGTGTTCTCGTCCTCGACGCGCAGATGCCTCACGGGGAGAACGGCCCCCGGGGGGAAGTCCGATTTGGGGTTGCTGACGAACTGCCAGGAGATGGGGTTGAGCTTGACGACGGTGATGTTCTCCGTGGTCAGGTTCATCAGCCGGATCGGGACCCTGGTGTACGGGTGCCCTGGTAGCACCTGGCTGATCATGTAACTGCCCATCAAGTTGCCGTGCCCGTCAAATTTTATATGCCCGGAGTAACCTAGGGGAATCGTAGTTGTAACATTTATTTTAAGTCTTGTTTAAAAAGAAAAACAAAAAAGATGTTAAAAAAACACAGCAACGGGATAATGAATGATATAACGTAAGAACATTGCCACCTAGGAGAGGAGCGAGTTTGGTGTCCGTCCAGAAAAGCATAAATTAAATACAAATTTGTCCACATGACTTAAAACGGAAAATTTCTGAAACGGAGAGAGAAAGTAGAAACAAAAGTATGTTGGAAGAAAATTGTGTGTTGGGGGCTGAGAAGAAAGAAAAGAGGGGGAGGGGTGTTGAGGAGAAAAAACAGAGGGGGGGGGGGAGATTAAGAAATATAAAATCATTTCGACCGATAAAAGGAAAATATTTTTGTAAAGTGTAAAATTCCATTTCCTCATAGCTTATATATATAGATATATATATATATAATATGTATATTTGGGGAGGATATATCCATTAAAACGTTTCAATATCTGTTTCGCTGAAAGCTTCAGATTTACAACTTGTCAATCAGGCCCGCACCTAGGGAAATTCTGGGCCCCAGGCAGCTACNGTTTTTTACCCCCCCCCCCCCCCCCCAGGTGCGGACCTGTGTTAATAAGGGTTGTACTGAAGTGGGGTTTTAAACATTTGGTGGAGTCTCCCCTTATTAGTTGTGTACAAATGTTGAGACATGTCCAATGGGGCCTCACAAAAAAAAAAAGATGATAACAAAAGATGAAGCAACAACGAACGTGTCCAATTAAATACTATAAAAATTTGTTAGGCTACATAAAAAAAATAATCTCCTTTAAAAATTGTTACTATACAAATTTAAATATCCAATGATCCAACCATTTAAAACTATGCTATAACTGCGTTTTAAATTAGAATAATTGTTAAACTCACTGAACTGAAAGACTTTTTTTTTTTTTTTTTAAATTTTATAGAATGTTCTATTTTTATGTTTAACTCAAAAACAACAGAAACGAAGTCTCACCTTGAAAAGATACATTCTTTAAGTATGTCAGTAGCTGCTCCCCCTTGACGCAGTCGCGGGCCTGTCTTCCCGACACCCCCGGGCACACGTCCGCCAGCAGGTTCTGGAGGGCATGCGCGTACGTGTACACCGTGTCCATCACCTTGCTGATCATGCTCAGCGGGTGAAAGTTCGGACTCTCGGTGATGTTCCTCGTCTCGTCGCACGTCTTATTCGCGAACGAGCAGGTGAACATGCGCTCCCAGAACTCCACGAACCACGGGTTTCTCGTGTTGGACGGTTTGATGGTCGTGAAGTGGACGTTGAACTTCGGCACGGGCGGTGCATCGATGATGGAGGTGAACGACCCGTACAGCACGGATTTGAAGTCCGACGAGAGCATGGTGAGGCGCTCCGACCAGCCGTCGCTCCCGATCCAGATGAACATCCTCGAAATGTTGAGGGTGTAGACGGCCTCGAACAGGCCGACCATCTCGTCCCCGCCCAGGAACGCGATGATGACCTTGGCCCGCGGGTACCTCATCAGGTCGGTCAAGATCTCCACGTACTCGTTCCGCGTCATGCGCAGCGTCGTCTTCCGCTGCGTGGCGATGCAGACGCCTTCCTTGGCCGCCATCGTTTTCATGTTGTTGTAGGCGAACTCGCCGTAGCTCCCAGAGGAGTAGAGCACGCTTATGTAGGTCCAGCCCTGACTCAGGACGAACGACATGATGGCCTTGACCTGGTATTTATCAGGGGGGATGACTCTTAGGAAATTCGAATGTAGCTCTTTGTTGGAGAGCTCGTCGCTCGTTGAGAAGAAGCTGACCTGTGGGATTTTGACAGGTCCCAGAACGTACGAGACGGCGATGCTGTTTTCACTCCTCTGGGGCCCGATGACCCCGACCACGTCATAATGCTCATGGTTCTGGCCCTCATCCTCTGCACACATGTCACCACACTCCGGGTTGGGCTTCCGTGGCAAGAACCGCAAAGCCTGGGCCACCGCCGTGCTTTCTTTGACGCAGTCGTCGAGTATGGCATAGCCGAGTTTTATATTTGGTAGAATCTCCGCATTGTTGTTGACCTCATCAAAGGCGTACACCAGAGCCTCGACGTATTGCTGAAGGAGGGGAAAACGAATCCGCTGCCCGCACAGCCCTTGCTGGGCGTATTCCGTTATGGCGAGGAAAGCGCCGAGATTGATGTCGCCTAGGTCGACGTATGACCTCTCCGGAAGTGCCGGGATTGGCTGTATGGCAACCAATGGATGGAAGAATCCCATCCACAGCAGCAAGACGAACGCTGTGATTGATGTTGACATTATCGTTAGCCGGCTTTCCCCCCTCAAATTGGAATTAATGTATTTGAGTTAAATAAGTTTAAAATCATATTTGACAAACACATGTTGATGTTGCGGTTTACGAAAGCAGACTTCCTCCAAACGCCATTGACGAGGATGATTGTTGTGAAATCAGATACTTTCGCCTGATTCTCATAGGGTCGGATTGTGGTCAGAGCTTTTGATACTTACTTACAGTGATTCGTCCTGCCAGCTCGAAAAATGACGTAGATTCGACTGACCGTATCCAGGAGGTCGACTGATTTATTTCACGCGTTCACGAAATGCTATAAAGCAATGTATCGTTCACTGTTCATTGTAAGTAGGTTTTATAATTATTTATTATAGGGCGTATAGGGCGTGGCTATCCTGGTTATGAAGACTTTCTTACACGTGGGAACAAAGCTAAGACAAGCTGAACGAAGAACATTTACAAACACATACAAGAAATGGTCCCTTGCTTACATGGGAACTGGAATAAAGATTTTGGAACTTGTTACCAATTACAAATAAACATCATATCTAGCTTTTTTTTTTTTTTAAGTGTTGGTGGGGCCAAATATCCTTTGTGCTCAAAGGATGATTCCCTTGCTTACATGGGAACTGGAATAAAGATTTTGGAACTTGTTACCAATTACAAATAAACATCATATCTAGCTTTTTTTTTTTTTTAAGTGTTGGTGGGGACAAATATCCTGTGTGCTCAAAGGATGAAAAGTCACGATTGTTCTTTTCATAAGCGTTTTACATCAACCGACCACAGCAACCGCTAAATGGCTAGCCATCTAGGGTGTGTGTGTGGGGGGGGGGATTCTTTTTCAACGAATAGAAATCTAGCTGTATGTCTATTTTTCTAGAATGTTTCGAAACGATTCTATCAACTATCCCCCGTGCACCTAAAAACAATGTCAGAAATTGTATCTTGCCCCCCCCCCTAATTTTGTGTATGTGTGTGTATGTATGTGTGTGTGTGGCCCTGTCAGTCCTGCAATTGTGGAAGACAACGAACTGAACTTAACTCTCGCAAGATTCGCCCGAGTGAGGTATAGAAATGTTCCCCCGTAAAGGCATACAAGTAAAATAGTTTATTTCAAAGACCTCATGCTTAACCATAATTTGGAATGCATTGCAGTTAACGTGAGACCGAAGAATGCCGTCACAGTAGACCGGTATTTCAAATGGAGAAAAAAAAAATATTTTTGTTAAAATTAAATCTTAAGTAGAAAATGCAGGTTATGTAAAGAAAAAAAAAATATATATAAATAATCAACTTCAAATCCAGCTTTAAAAAATATGATATGCGTAACAATGACGTCACCAGAGAGTATCGACAAATATCAGTTTCATATGAACAAAACTTAATAGTAGCCTCCATTTTAATGTTTTCACAGAAAAAAAAAAAAAAACCTTAACCGACAATGTGCACTTTGGAGATTATGTTAACGTGATTTTTCATCTTCGCAAATAGGGGGTGGGGGCATGGGCGCCCGCAGAAAACTTTCTGGGGGGGGG